CTGCCATATAACTGAACGATCGGATATGGTATTTGGTAGAAATACCAACTTTGATGTTCTTGAAGATAGAAGCTTGGGACTTTTTTTAGATTTTGTGTTGTAATAAATTGTTTTAACTATGATATTCTTATAATAATCGGTCAACTATATCCCATTTGTTTGATATATATCCGGTTTTAACTGCAAGGGTATATCATCTTCGGCTCCGCCGGAAGTGAGATTTCATTTATTTTTCTACATAGCATTGTTAATGGTGATGTAGATAGCCTTATGAAATTTAGTAAGTCATATTATTTTAGCAAAAATAGCACTAAGCACCCAGCATTGGTCTACAATTTGTTAAGGTAGGTAAGTTAATTAGTAAGATTCTACTGCGATACGAAGGAAGATGAAGATTTGCATTCCATTTAAGAAATCTGAGAGCAAATGTTAATAAATTCTTTTGTAAGGACTCCATATTGTCTGGATGTACTTCACATTGGGGTCTCCAGACACATGATTCTTTTGACCACCTTTTAATAAAATTAAGGACACATTTAGCCTTATTAACCATTGTGGAAATATGGTCGCCAAATTTGAGTTTTAAGTCTAACAGGACACCATCTTCATTAACTTGAGTTCTTTTTTCTAAGGCAATCCCGTAGAGATAAAACGTCGCCTGGAGAGGGCAAGAACGATAAAAAGACATAAGATTTCATTTTGATCCATTATATAATAAATCATTTGCTCAACACCATTGTTGAAAATTTTCGACATCGGACTGAAGTTAGCATTGTGCAGAAACGGAATTTTATTGAAGATCAAAAATCAAAGGCATTGCAAATGCTCAGTAATAAATTTGAAAATGAGTTTGTGAATATCAGCCTTAAGGAAACAGAAAATTCTATTTGCCTCGCAGGAAACTTCTCATTGATACCAGAAATGGTTTCAATTAACACCTCAAGCGTGGGGTGATATGGATCCTCTGGGGTTGAAAGGGGCAAAGCTCCGGAAAGAGATGTACCATTAGGATCAGAAACAAAACATAAGTCCAATAGCCGACCTGACGAGTGGACCGCGGTGTTATCGACATTAGACCACTTTAGTTCTGGGATATTAAAGTCACCCAGAGCTACAAGCAAGCTGGTCACAATCAGACAAAAAATTAAAACGGATTGAATAGCGGACAAATGATGCCAGTATGTGGGCGGCTCAGATAAAGAAGGCTTATATCAGCATGTAATCTATAAAGATTTACTGGAAAAAATGTTTGATTTACTGGAAATGTAAGTCGCAGGTGTCGCTGTAAGTCGCTGGTGTCGCAGGTAGGGAAACTGCAACATCAGTCCGTGCCGCTGATCCGGACGGTGTTTACCCTGTTAGGTGACTCTTTCGGGTGTTTTTTTTTTTTCAATTGGATCCATGTTATCACTTGAAGTGATGCCACGGAGCATATATCGGATAATTGCTCATTTGCACTAGAAATTCGGACGGCGAAGATGACGATATTGTCTTATTGCAAGACTTCATTGAGCAGACCATTTTGAATTCCATTAAATTATTAAAAATATAAACGGTTTCAAAAACAGTGTAGCTTGAACCACTACGCCACTTAGAGTCAAAGGCGGAGCCTTGAAGAGAGCGATTGGAGTGGGCAAATGGAAATATATTAATATAAATATTTAAATTGAGGGAAGTTTTTCTAAATTGAAATTTTAATTTTGTTTACATCAAGACTTATAAAAACGAAGTGCGCACAAAAATACACATATTAACTTAAATAACATAAGAGAACATTAAGAACATTTTCCCAAATTTTGATAGAGATTGGAGCAGTAGAAAAAAAGTTACAGCGCTCCTAACCGCGCGCCTCGTTGCGGCCTTGAACTGAACTTGAAACTTTAAACGCGAATATCTCGAAGTGGTGTTTCTTGAAAAATGACTTTGCGGTGACATGGATTGGCGGAAAACTACTGAACCGATTTACTTCAAATTTTTTTTAAAATGTTCGTAATGAAATTCTTTTGTGTCTTTTTTTCGCCGAAATGAATTTTTTAGTGAAATTTCTAGAGACCAAAAAGTTCATTTTTAGCATAAAACGTTCCCGTATGAATAAAAAAAAAAATTTTAAATCGATCGTTCAAGCACAAGGAAATACACTAAACTAATGAAATTTTTTTACTTTTATGGTTTAAGTTGACCTGTTTGACTTGGGGAACTGTCACCGCAAGGCTCTAAAAAAAAAGGCTCTAAGGCAGTGGTCGGCACCCCAATACATTGATATGATTTTACCGCATTAGTGTTAGTAACGAATAGCAGAAAGTAGGCTGTGAGCATGACGTTTCACACATTTATACTGTGTGTGTGTGGCAGAGCTCGGGCAGAGAAATTTCCTATGCCCCCGAGATAGCGCCGTGCCGACCTCTGCTCTAAGGGAAACAGCCACCCCTTAAAAACTATTAAATATTTTTCCACCAAATTTTGCACAAACATTGTTAATAAAGTGTACTATCAAAAAATTAAAACATCCCTGTAATTAAATAATTGCTACATACCTAAAAAAAATCCGAACTTTGCTATTTTTCTTCGACAAAGAAGGTATATAACCCCTTAAATCAATCTCTTCAATCTGTTCCGTTTATTAAATCAATCGAACCGAAATACATAAGCAATCTGTCGGCCCAAACAAATAAGTAATATAAAAATATGCGATGAAAAGAGAAAATCGATCATGTAAAATGTTTATGTCTATCTATTATCTATTTATCTTTAATATTATATAATATTATAATTTATCGTATTATATATTTATTATACCTATATAATATTTATTGTTTATGTATTTTGTTAATAGGGAGGATTAGAAAAATCGGTCGAGAGGTTTTTGAGTATATCACACAAAAATAAATATTTTTATCAACTAAACTAATGTAAAAACCGTTTCTTTTTTTAATTTAGATCTGAATAATTGCAAGTTTTTTTTTTATATACATATGTATGTATATTGTATGTATATGTATAAACGCCAATTTATTAATTTATAGCAAATAATGGTACGTATGGATGTGCATTAAAATTTTAATATTAAAACTCATTTTTTTACTTACACTTTTTTATAAAAATCATTTTTCCGAATTCAATATTTTTAAAAACTGAAAAAATTTTTAAAGTGTTTTTTTGTAATACGGAAATTTCAAAAATCTAAAGGACAAAGATCTTTTTAATATTACATTTGTGAACATATGTATGTACTAATATTATTGTACCGTTTTTCTTTATAAAAAATATTAACACCTTAACACACAAATTTTACTGTTTTTAATAAATACAACGTGTGTTAAAAAATTGCTTAATTTTGTTATATCTCAAAGTTTTTATTCTTTATAAGCTATTTTGTCAATAAATCTCTTATATTATTTTAATATTTTGGATTGATGTTTTTACCAAACAACCAAATAATTTAATTATGAAAAGGCACACAACCATTGGGATAGTAGATATGAAAACTGGTATAAAAAATTGTATTGTCATAAAATAAAATCATCCGCGAAATTGTAAAACAACGACGCCAATACCAACGTCGTGTTGGTAAGTAGTGTTGTAGAAAAAAAGGAAATTGAAAGCGTAAAACAGATATGTATGTTTGTATGTATGTATATACATCTGTTTTTCAAAGCGTAAAACAGATATGTATGTATGTATGTATGTATATACATACATACATACAAATGTTGTATGTATGTATTTACATGTTAAAATGAAAAATAACTTCGAAGAGCTGTTTTTACAAATATACATATATTTGTAAGTATGTTGATTTTTTATATCTACTTTTCCCTTTACTTTCCAACTAACGGGTATTATAAGCGAAAATGAAACATAATTGTATTTATCTTTAAATGGCTCTTAATCTTTATATATATATATATGTGTATGTATGTATGTACATACATACTGTACACTAGGCTGGGGCAATTTGTATGGAAGGAAGATTATAACATATACATATATAATATAACATATAATAATATAAACATATATATAAAATATATATATATATATATATATATATATAATACATATATAATATAACATCGGGCGCCGAGTCCGGGGGTTATAAACGTAAATATGTTTTGCAAATGATTATGGCAAAAAAATATAAATTTCTTAAATATATGAAGTTCAAATAGAAAAGGAAAGCGAAAACTTACAAGCTCAGTGGAATTTTTTGCTCAGAATAACCTTCATATTTAGATATGAATCTGAAATGATTTTTAAATGAAGTCACCCCACCCTGATGTACCCATACACACATACTTAATTATAAATGTATTTACATGTATAGTTTAAAATAAAGAAAAGAAAATATCTAACAATAACAAGAAAAATTAAGACAAAAAAATGATTTATCAAAATTTTAATTTTAAGGTATTTCAAAGTAAAACAAGAAAGAAAAGCTAACTTCGGGCGGAGCCGAAGATGATATACCCTTACAGTTAAAACCGGATATACATACATATATCGCAAACATTGGATATAGATGGCCAATCCTTATGAGAATATCATAATAAAACCAATGAACTACAATAAAATATCTAAAAAAAATGCCAAGCTTCTATCTTCAAAAATACCAAAGTTGGTATTTCCGATCGTTCAGTTATATGGCAGCTATAAGATATAGTCGACCGATCCCGGCCGTTCCGACTTATATACTGCGTGCAAAGGAAAGAAGGGTGTGTGCAAAGTTTCAAGTAGAAACAGACAGACGGACATGCTCATATCAACCCACGAGGTGATCCTGATCAAGAATATACATACATACTTTATAGGGTCGGAGATGTCTCCTTCACTACGTGGCTTCACTTTTGTCCAAAATTATAATACCCTCTGCAAGGGTATACAAAGCTTACCCTTTATTTCGGAAAATATGTAGATATGTAAGTACGTTCCAAACACTCATGTACATACATATGTATAAATGTATTTCCAGTTTTTTTTTTCTTTCCCTACTCCCGTATGTACATAACGGATTTTTGTTTTAGGGCGCGCGGTGTCAATTGATCTATGTATGTAACTCTTCAGTCAATCCTTGTAGCTCGCCAAGAAAAAATTGAACTTTTTCTTATGGATTTATTTAGTTTAATGGTGACCATTAATTGCCTTGTCCAGATTTGCATTGAAAATAAATTTAAATTTTTTGTAACAAACAGTTCAAATTTTTTTTTAATGTTTTGTTTTTTTTATTTTTGCTTAAAGTTGGATTTGGGAATTTTTTTTTTAAATTCCTGTTTTTAATATGTACATTCATATTTATGTACATATATGTATATGTAAGTTGCTTTTCAAACAATAAATATGATTAAATATGATTAGTTCATTAAAACTAAAAATCTTAATAATTTTCAAGAAGGATAAAGCAAAAAGTTTGCATTTTTATTGCTGATCCGTATAAAAAATTTATATATAATTTTATATATTATATAGTTTAATTTTATGTATAAAATTATAGAGGTCTTGTGATTGCGTAAAACCATATTTTTCAGAGATTTTCTTATTGTTATAATATTAAAAATACTGAAATATATATATTTTTACAGCTACAATGTACATATGGATTTATGTATGCATGTTCTTATGTACATATGTATGTACATAAGAACATGCATACATAAATCCATGTACCATGTCCATGTATGTACATACATATGTACAATTGGGAAAAAACTATGGAAGAAACTATTATGTTCTGTTTAAAAACAGGTAAATATGTACATACATGTGTTTGTACATATGTATAGTTTCTGTTTTCTTACAAAATAATTTATATAACCGGAACTCGTTGAGAAAAGAAGGAATCATCCCGACCCCATAAAGTATTTACATACACGTTGCCACGCCCATTTCCACGCTCGAAACGAAAACTCGTTGTAGCGCCACTTCATTAATGCTTTTGAAAAATGCTTTAATTCCAAACTAACTTCAATGTGTCTTCTAAAATTCAGACAAATCGGAAAATTTTCAGGAGTTACATATGGGATTTCAGGGATTTTATTCTGCTTCCCTGCAGAATCCGTAGTAGTGATGTAGGTGGTAGTAGGGTGGCTTTAAGTTGTTTTTTCCCAAGCGCAAAAGTATGCAGCAAATGCAGTTTTCGATACTTTTTTATACCCTTGCAGATGGTATTTTAATTTTGTCCAAAAGTGTGCAACGCAGTGAAGGAGACATCTCCGACCATATGAAGTATACATACAATAATTAATTATTGTGGTGCCATTGAATGTTATTAAATAAGACCCTTGTAGGACCCATGTACTAAAATAGCACTTTCCTGAATTATATCTATGTACTTGTTTATTTTTTTCCCCTATTTTATTACAAACTGATTTTTCACCGTTCAAAAAGCGAGTGAAACATGAACTTTCTTTTCTTAAGAAAAAATAATTATTAAAAAGTTCTCTTTTGAAATTATTTATATCATAATGGGTGTTGTCGCATTTTGCTACGTTCCATCATTATGAGTAATAGCTCTTGCGTAATAATTATCGCATCTATTTTTATACGCTTGCAGAGGGTAAAATAATTTTGGTGAAAAGTGTGCAACGCAGTGAAGGATACATCTCCGACCTTATAAAGTACACACAGTCCTTTTTTTACGCGATTGTTGGTTCTGCCACTAACCGCGTAAAAAAAAATCGCGTAAAAATGGTAACCGCTTACTAAATGACTAATGACTAGATTTGCAATAATTGATACACATAGAGTAATCGCAATCGCAATCGCAATCGCGTTAAAGTGAAAAATCCGCGTAAAAAAAGAAATTTTCGCTGCAAAAATAACCGCGTTAAAGTGAAATCGCGTAAAAAGGGACCGCGTAAAAAAAGGACTGGGTGTATATATATTCTTGATCAGGATCACCTCCTGAGTTGATATAAGTATGTCCGGCTGTCTGTCTGTTTCTACAAAAAATACATAGTCTCTCAGTTTTAAAGCTATCGACTAGAAACTTTGCACTCACCCTTCTTTCCTTTGCACGCAGTATAAATCGGAACGGCCGGGATCGGCCGACTATATCCTTTAGCTGCCATATAACTGATTGATCCGAAATGGTATAACTTTGGTGTTTTTAGAATTAGAGAGTTTGTACGAATGCTATTTTCGTCAAAATAATACGACGTACCAAATTTCAAATGCATCGGCCGACTATGTCTTATAGCTGCCATACAACTGAAGAGTCGGAAACGGTTTTCGGAATGGAATCGGAACTTTAGTATTTTGGAAGATTGATGCTTGTGACGTTTTTTTCGATTTTGTATTGAAATAAATTGGTTATATTATGATATTCTCATAAGTATCGGCCAACTATATCCGATGTTTGCGATATATCCGGCTTTAATTGCAAGGATATATCAACTTCGGCTCTGTGCGAAGTTAGCTTTCCTTTCTAGTAAATTTACGGTTATTTTAAGGCTAGTTAAAGTTTGTGTGGAAGATATAAGAACCGGGTATAATAAAGGCGAGAAACTTGACTGTAGTTGTCTCTTTTTGTTTATTTTTTATATTTTTAGTATACCTATTAAAAAAAAAATAATATAAGAAATAAACTTTTAAAATGTTCGAAAAATTATCTTTCTCATTATCACTTTGGTTAAGATAAAAAATAAGTTAACCTGATTTACATAAGATACAAATTAAAACAAAAAACAAGAAAGGAAAGCTAACTTCGGGCGGAGCCGAAGTTTATATACCCTTGCAGTTAAAACCGGATATATATCGCAAACATCGGATATAGTTGGCCGATCCTTATGAGAATATGATAATATTTCCCAATTTATTATAATACAAAAACGAAACCTAAAATTGTCCCAAACTTCTATCTTCAAAAACACAAAAGTTGGGTCATTTCCGATCGTTCAGTTATATAGCAGCTATAGGATATAGTCGGCCGATCCTAATGAAATTTGGTAGGTTGGATCATCTGGCCAAAAATATAATCTGTATTAAGTTTCAGCTTTCTATCTTCAAAAACACGAAAGTTGGGTCATTTCCGATCGTTCAGTTATATGGCAGCTATAAGATATAGTCGGCCGATCCTTATGAAATTTGGCATGTCGTAATGGTTTGCCAAAAATAGCTCTCTTGTCAAATTTGAATTCTCTAACTCTAAAAACACCAAAGTTATACCATTTCCGATCAATCAGTTATATGGCAGCTATAGGATATAGTCGGCCGATCCGGGCCGTTCCGACTTATATACTGCGTGCAAAGAAAAGAAGGGTGTGTGCAAAGTTTCAAGACGATAGCTTCAAAACTGAGAGACTAGTTCGCGTAGAAACGGACAGACAGACAGACGGACAGACAGACGGACAGACGGACAGACGGACAGACGGACAGACGGACATGCTCATATCAACTCAGGAGGTGATCCTGATCAAGAATATATATACTTTATAGGGTCGGAGATGTCTCCTTCACTGCGTTGCACACTTTTGGACAAAATTATAATACCCTCTGCAAGGGTATAATAATTTATTTAAAATCTTCATCTTAGGAAAGGTCCGATCTTTAAGGGGTTTACAAATCCCAAGCTCCTATTTTTAAGAATACCAAAATGCGGTAATTTCCGATCGTTCAGATCGATGCAGCTATATAACATAGTTGACTGTGCAGCTTGGTACGTCGCATCAATTGGAAAAATAATCCAATAAGAAATAAAAGGAATGGTGAAAAAAAATATCCTAAGACCTTCTGCAAATGCTGCTGAGGACCTGCTGACCTTTATCCAATTTTTTTATTTTTCAAAAATTGGATCAAAATGTTCATTGTTAAATACTGTTATACGAGGGCTGACAATAAAGTAAGGTCACCAATTTTTTTTTTTCATAGAAAACGACATTTATTTACAAAAAGCGATACACCGTTGAAAAGGCCAAGGTCTTGGCTACTTTTCTACATAATCGCCATTTTTTTCCAACACCTTGCGCATCCGCACGATGAACTATGCCGGCAGAATACCACTCTCCGTCCGCCTCGCGCAGCCAGGTGCTTACCTATTTCTGAATCTCCCTGTCAAGTTCGCTGCTACACACTCCTCCAAGCTTCTTTTCCAAGTCCCTAATTGTCGCACGGTGGTTTTGAGCATTTCTGCCTCCACTGCTTGAACAATCGCATCCGAGACCGACGGTCGGCCACTTCTCTCCTCGTCGTGAACATTAGTGCGCCCGGAATTGAACTCGCGGCTCCACTTACGCACGTTTTTTATGTCCATACACTTTTCCCCGTAAACTTCAACTAGTTGACGATGGATTTTAATAGGTGTCACCTTTTTCCCATTAAAAAAACGTATTACAGAACGCACTTGGACGCTAACGCAAGGGGTACCTCCATCGTTGACGGCTGCTCAGCCAAGACTGAGCGGTCGGGGAAGCCTCACCCAGCAGCAAAGCGGTGTTGCCTGATTTTGCCTTGCGCGTGATCTGGCGAAGTTGCAGCGTGTGAGACCTTACTTTATTGTCAGCCCTCGTACACGGTCAGGGTGTATTTCTTTGGTCCAGATGTTTGTGATGTAATATAAAAATCATTTCTATGCTACAAAGTATATATAAATGTATGTATATTCTTGAATTACCACAACGATAAGGTCAACATTCTTATTTTTTAAGATATTCATATATTTCGTATTAAAAGAAACGAAATTGTTGCAGCCCAGGATGTGTAGTGTAAAAAAACAAGGGATTATAGCACGCTTTTATCATGTTTTTATATTTGTTTGGTCATTGAGAGTTTTCAATGCCGGGAAATGAAAGACGAAATTTAATTACAGTACGTTATATTTTATTTATGCTGCAGGCAGATGAAACTGGGATTAACCATTGTGATCATCCAGTTTATGGTGCTAAGCAGTGACTAATACGCGAAACTAAAGCTCTCGATAGTGGAGAGGGCGGCCCGACGTAGTGATTGCGAAGCTAAAGCTCTCTTAAAATAGGCCCGTTGACGTCGAGCGGCCGAAAAAGAGTCGGCTTGCGACCAACTAAGGCGATATATCCATACTTTAGCTCAATAAATAAACTATAACTAATTATTACACTAAACATACATAAACATTATTTAAACATTAAAATTACACCGCTGCTGCCTGACCCGACAATATTTATTTTATCAAAATTATCGAGCTTTAAAAAGTCTTGTTTTCGTTCTATTTCGTTTTCTTAGGCTTTCGTTGTTAAACAGTAATTATGAGAGATGCTTTTTAGTAAAATTTTTAGTACGCACGCCTTTGGTATTTGCGTTTGATAGTCGATCCAAAGGAAGCGCTGTGCATGGATGTCAC